GGTGTACTCGAGTTGTGGGGAAATAAATCATACCAACTCAAGTCAACTCAGGTTCATCTTCTTGGTTCTTTCGGTAAAGTCACGTAGAAGGAAAATAATAAAATAATACAAATAAAACATAATAAAATAATTCTCACGACGTTTCGGCCACAGCGCAAGCAGCCGTCTTCAGGTGGAGAACAGGTCTGTCCTTCTACGTGACTTTACCGAAAGAACCAAGAAGATGAATCCCTGCAGTCACGAAAGCTTTAAATCGAAATTCAACTCAGGTTGTCTGTCCCATGAGCTCCACCTGATGAGGCTTGGTCATTGGTTTGGATGGCAGCATTGCTTGCATTGAGATCGGTCACCACCGTTGGAATTTAAAATCTCCACCAATGGTTCAGGTTCAGCAGGGGAGCAAGCGGCTCGCAATTGGCAGGTTGCGAGTTAAATTCTTGGTTGGCAGTTGACTCAACCCATCATCCTTTCAGGGATGATACAATACGTACCACTTTTTAGGGAAGTCAAGAGGGGTTGCCTTATGGATACACTCGTCCCCGCCATAGTAACGTGGAATTTCTACCACCGGCTCAAGGTTGTAAACAGGGGAGCACCACCCCAATGCTCATTCGAGCACGAAATTACTATGTTGGTTTAGGATCTCATGAAGATAAGCAACAATGAACGTGTTAAACAGTTAAAGCATCAGTGAACAGTATGGAACATGTACATTGCTTAATACAGCACCGTATTTATACATTGATATATACTGTATTTATATTCTACAATTGTATCGCCTTTTGTCATACCACTGCTGGATGAAGGCCTCCCCATGCCACAATATTCGGGTTGGTAACTGCACGTTTCTCAACGTGGGTTGGTGAAAGAGCAGTTCACATATCACTCGCCACTGATGTTAGCCGTGGCCAGAAGTCAAACTCGCGTTTTTAGGTTCACCGTGCAGAGCACTAAGCAGTGTCGCTGCTCTCCCCCAAGAAGTATACAATGTTTGTCGTTAGAAATTAATTTCTTACTACATTTTTGCCAGTATGAAAGTATTAAACATATATAAAAATGAAGAATAACTTATTGTTATGTTTTCATGTCTCCTGTTATTGTAATGTGGTTAAATTTTTACTAAAATGTACCCGATTGAAATGGATGCACAGTAAATGATTCAACAGATGAGTGTACACATCTAGATAAACATTAACAAGGGTTGACCGTAACGTGCCCATTCTGGAAAATTGTGGTTGAGTCCAGACACCTCCCGCGAGCAATAAACATCGACCAGATAATAAAATGTCATTCCTGAGGTCGGTTCCCAGGGGATCACAGAGTCCAAAGAGCAACAGGGGAGTGTGAACAGTTAACTTTTGTGTACAAAAAAAATGGTGGCCCACTCTCATGCACATCCACACGTGTACATTGTTTAAGAGTGTAAAGATACAGTCCTGCTAATTCGTTGCTAGTGCCACTATTGGAGGAAGGGCCTCCACCAGAGGAAGCTCTAGAGAGCCCCTCTACAGAGTATTTGACCTACCGGACTGGCCAGATGTATGTTTAACTTTTTTCTCACCGTACGCAGCCAGCCGTGCTAATTGGAAGAGGTTGGGAGTGCCCGCATCTCTCCCCACCATGAGCGGACCTGCGGATCGACTCATTGTTTTGTACCCATTTATATTGCTGCGTGGACATAGGTGGGGGGGGGGAGATATTTAGGTAGCTTGCCCCATTTCAATTGCCGTACAAGGATATTGAACCGCAACCTCTGGTTTACATGTCCAGTGCAATAACCGCCACACCACGGCAACGTACCATATACAGGGTGCATCTATTTACTGCCGCCAGATAGTACCGCGGTAAAAGTACTCAACTCGCGATTTGAAAGGTTGTAAGTTCAAATCTGTTGTCGGTTGAATTAGCTCTTTTGAACATTACAATGTAAGGAAATCAACATTGCTGTGAATGTGCCCATTGTCATCGTGTCTTGGAAGCCAAGTGGAGTTGAGCCTGGCTAGTGCTTGGACAGGAGACCTTGGGGGAATACTCGGCCTTGTAAACTCGGGCTGCAATGTAGCCCGGAGATGGTGGTTCATCAATGCATTGAACTCATCTGTGCGGAGTTTTTGAGTGAGTTTTCTCGCTGGTTTCCTCCCACATGCTGAATACCCATTCATGGAGTGAGCCAAACACCCCAAAGCAGAACTTTCCTAAAAAAATCAAGTATTGAAACTCAGTGAGGATAATCTTCTGCGTGAAGTACATTAATGTTGTCATGCTATGCAGAAACGCAAATGTGAAGTTGACACCACGGGGCTCAAGGATGCAAGTCACATGATTATCAAACACTCGAGTAAAACAAACAGGGAGAGACTTGCACTTAACGATTGCCTCTTGAGTTCCTGCCCAGTGTTGTCCCTCCAACTACCATTCTATTCTTTATGACAGTTATTGTTCATAACTTTAGTTTTTTCATTTACCTATAATTTTCCACAATGTTGCGGCGTTTTACTTTGATGGTTGTTTCAACGACTATGTCCACAGAAAATATCAGATACAGTAGTTAATACATTTTCTATTGCTTATTTCACCCGTTCTTTCGTTTCTGTAGGAGTATGATTTGTATTCTGTCGCTATCTTTGTGTAATGTTTCACCTCCAATTAGCACGGCTGGCGACGTACGGTGCGAAGGAAGTTCAACATACATAATGTTACAGAAGTGGTTCCGTACTTTTACATTATTATGGTATTTTGTAATATATCTTTTTGTAAAGGATTTTGTTTGTGAGAGCTTGGAGCGAGATTACAGTCGGAACTGATTGAAATGTCTGTTATGTATACAGGAAATATGTGGGTATACCTAGGGCAGTTGTTGAAGGTGGATCAAGGGCAAAGTGATTATATAAAAGGGTGAACTAGAGCAGGAAGGGTGACTGGAAATCTGTTATTGATAATGATAAGCAACATACTATTGTGGTCTAAGAAGATCGATTTTATTCCGTGTAGATAACCCACGAAGACATGAACATTGACAAATTAAATGGCCTTCATACAGCAAACCCCTAAACATCACAAATATTTACATAAATTTTAGATTAGTGTTTCTGCATATATTGCATTGTTTTGCTGTGTAAAATTGAAAACGAAAATTTTAAAAATTAATTTGCTTCTAAACCATGGGGAAACGTTCAGTGGCCCCAAATAATAATGATTATCTACAGCCTTGGTCAAATCACTGCTGGATGAAGGCCTACCAGCGACGTGTGAGTCATTCGAGTTGTCTGCGCCACGTTTGTCAGTGTGGGTTGGTGAAAGGAGGGGGCAGGACCGGTTCGGATGTCGCTCGCTGCTGTTGTCAGCCATGATCGGGAATCAAGCTCAAGTCGCCGGATTCACAATTCAGTGTGCGGGACTGCTGTTTCAGCGCCCCACCACAGACCTTCAAATGCTCGGGTGAATATCTTAATGCTCTTAGGTTTTTTCCGGTAAAGTCACGTAGGTAAAAAATAAGTAATACAAATAAAAATAATATAAATAATAATTATTATAATAATTATTTGTATCTTCTTTTATTTATGTTATTTTATTATTTATTTTTATTTTTTACCTACGTGACTTTACCGAAAAAACCTAAGAGTATGAAATCCTTGCAGTCACGAAAGCTTCAAATCTAAAATTAATATCTTAATAGTGCCAAAAGCATAACTACAATTGTTTCATATTGTGCCTATTCAGTGTGAAACCTTTATCCAAAAATCCAGTCGATGAGCGGGGTTGTTCCCCCCCCTTTCCCTCCAACATGAAGCGAAATGTGAAGGGAGTGTTGCGTGTGGGCGCTGTGGCTCAAGGCAAACAAACGCCCCGGGCAACAGGAGGGGCACAGCCGTCCAAAGTCCGGGCCCTTACAATGGCCCAGCGGGGCAGGCCACCCTGTGTGAACCGGGGGGGGGCACGCAAATCCCTGAGTCTCCTCTCACTCCACTGATTTTTGAGACATTTTTGCTGCCCTTCGCTGCGAGGATTTTTTTCTTTCTTTCTTTTTCTTTCCCTCGCGACCAAACGCGCACAGTAAAATCGATCTTCCATTGCGGCACTTGGTCGATGGTAGGCGAATTGTAGGCAAGCTCGGTGTTTAAATGTGACGGTTCTACGGGTGAGTTGGTAACACGCCTCTGCGTTGGCAGTAGAGCGCAAGCACAGGGTAACCCCCCCACCGAAAAAAACCTCAGCACATGCATCAATGCACACTGCCGAGAAAGAGTAGATTAAAGTGAGACGTTTTTGGGCCATGGCCCTTCACGTCACATCGAGAGACTCTGCCTCTCTCTGGGTGCTGTGAAGAAGGGCCATTACCCGAAACGTCGACTGTTATGTATTTATTACGGCCACAGTATTATTGACGATTTTGTTGAGTTTTTGTTTTACTACGGACACGTTTCCTTCTCCGGGGCTGTGGTATATAGCAGTCGCATTCTGTCAGTGGCATCGCTTGCGAGCGATGCCGATTGTGTGCCCGCTTGCCAGGGTCATGGTGACAAGAATCGTCATTAATAATGTCCACGTGTCAGATTTTCCTCCTCAATTCTGCAGTGCTCACGAGTCGCATTAGAGATGACGAGCAAATGAGGCCACGTTGCCACGGGGCAATATTTGGAACGCGAGCGCTGCTGATGATACACGTGCTCAATTCTGCAGGCGCGTAACGCTCTGCACACATGCCTAACGTTAACTTAAACCAAGTTTGGTCTCTGGCACATCAATAATTAACGCGTTCATATACTTTTACGGCACGTCAATAATGCATGGTGTGTGTGGGGGGGGGGGTCGCAACGACGAGTAGTCATGCCCACCGGCTGACCCCCCCCCCCCCCAAAATAAAAAGGGGGGCCCCATTTCCTTCGTTTCTTAACGCCGGTGCCACGTGTGGCGAGGTTTGCAATGTGCAGAGAGCGAGAGAGAGAGGCGGGTGAGGGCTTTAGGAAGTGACGTGAGGTGGTTAGAGACGACAGGTCAGTGTGTTTGTGTGTGTGGGTCTGTGTGTGTGTGGCTCAGAGAGAGAGAGAGGAGGAGGAGGTTGAAACCATCGCAGAAGCCAGGTGTCACCTGGACTTGCATTTAGGTGGATTTTGTTTTGATTCGGCGTTTTTTGTTGTTGCTATGTCTCATCAAACGGGTATTCAAGGTAAGTACTGTGTGTGCGCTCATGTGTGTGTGGTGCTCGCTAACAGCACTTGCACCAACAGTCTGTTCAGGCTATATGGGGAATCTTTGTCTTTGTGTGTGCTAAAAATTGTTTATTCATTTCAGGAAAAGAAAATAAATCTTAAGAGAATAGGTAATGTCTGGACTGAACACTGTCAATGCAATCAATAGGTATTATCACATATTTGTGTTGCGTGCGATAGCTTAAGATTTCAGAAATATCCTGAGATAGTTCACATAATAACGTTCAAACATAATGAGCGAATAAAGGGGACGTCGTGTGGTTATTGTCTGACCGTGTAAGTGAGCACACCGACCAGTGCACGAGTGTGGTGGCTCGCTTTCACATCACGTTTCCTTTTCTCACGCGAGGGGTTTATTATTTCGCCCTCCCAGAACGACTCTTATTTTACTGCAGCCAGATTTTGTTAAGTTACTTTGGCTTTTCTACTTTGTGTGTGTGTCTGCTCAAAGTTGTCACTTTGTAATGCGTTCCCAACTTGCCGGGCAAACGTACTCGAGCACAACGTGAGAATAACGACAAAGGGACATTTTAGATTTGTAAAATACTTACCTCTTCCTCATTACCATCATCATCATCTTAGCAGCAGCATCCATGGTTCATCGACTGCTGGATGAAAGCCTAAGCACGCCCTCGCCATCCCCCGCAATGTAACAATCCACGCAGCACCTGCACACGAGCTGATTTCATTGCTCCATCTCTCTGGCAGACGTCCTGTCAGACACGTTCCAATCCTTGGGACACCATTCTTTCACTATTCACGGTTAGCCAAAGAATGACATACAGATTACTGCTCAAGCTACATTTGGTGTCTGAAATGTTTTTTTGAATCACCCCAAAGTTAAAATGCCAGAGTGGTTGCTTACTCAGACGAGCATGAATGATGCTCATTTGCGTTAACGTCCCTAAGACTGGTGGAAATGCCACGTGCTTACGGCAAGGAGAAATGAACACGATACAATCATCGATAAATCCTGAGCTACGTTTGTACTTTATTTAAAAATTACTCGTGTTCAAATTAGACGGAAGGTCAAGCATTTAACACGTTGCTGTATTCATAACAGAAATGTTGGCTATTGTAAATATTGTTTTCCTTAGTTATGGTATTGTTAGTTTAGCGGTAGTTTAAGTAAAACTACTAAATTACTTTTCCAGATCCTTCCTTGACACGGAACAATACCTTTGTATTTTATTCGATATTCTTAAATAACATTTTCATCATTATTTGTGAAAACTACAGGAAGTAATATTTAGATGTTATAACTTACATTTAAATGTAAGTGTGTGTGTGTATGCTAGCCTATTACTTTGTTGTGCGTGTTGTAAATACAATGCATGTTTTTCCTAAATACTCGTGAGTTTTATTGGTGATTTTTATTTTTTCGCCGTATGCTTGTAGCTGTTAAACTAAAAATATACTGTAGCCGGCGTATTGTGTGTAGCCGTGTATTGTTTAAACAGTACAGTTGCTGTGGCCACTGTTTACAATAATCTCAATAGACGTATGTTTATAAAGTCTAAGGTGTGGCATGTAATAGTATACCTTTTAACAAAAGAAGCTTCCATCATTAGGCCGCCTATACTATCTACTTATCCTCTTTCAAAGAAGGAAACGCATATCTAATTTCGTGCCGCGATACACTGTTAGTCAACAGGTGATGTGTATTATGTTCAAAGGTGAAAAGTCATTGTGAATCAGCTGAAGCAAACGACACTAGTAAAAACTAAAAAAAAAATTTGACCAGATCAGACCCATTGAGCCCTATAGTTATTTTTCAGAAGCGACCTGGCCACAATTAATAGCCAATTAAAGCGGCTTTGCATGTGGACATTTATTGCAGCCAAATACGTAACTCTAAACGCGTGTTTCTAGCTCAGTCCTCTGCATGGATGGCCTCTGTTGACTTCTCGTTTGAACACGGTTTTGTCATTTCCCCACAATGTTATCCCGATGGTGATATCAGTGTCATGCCATGAGACTGAGTATCCATGTGGACATCTCGCAAAGCGGTAAGACCATTTGTGTTAGAGAATGGACTCACTGAAGCCGATATTCACAGAACTACCGCTGAGAATCCTTCCAGTGACTTTTGTTCCACACATAAAGGGCCCAGGACTTTAAAATCATCTCTGGCGTATGCGAGCAATGTTCATCGCATGACAGTCAAACTGATTTTTACTTCTCAAAGCTGCAATTTAGCTAAATAATGCACGGGACCAAAGTTAACGTCATTATTTTTTGCCTAGTCATTGGTGACCGGCTGAGACCATCAACTTACTGCACTCGAGAACATGGTTTAATCACATGCGGCTGCCTGGATTCGAACCCAGGCTCTTAGCAGTCGGCGCTCAACGCTCTAAGCATCTGAGCCACTCGGCCACCTCCAGGTGGTGATAATTGTATCCAACCAGGGATGGATGATGTGCTGAAGTTGACTCCCCGAATAGCGATTTGAATTCGTAGCCTTCTGATTGAGAATCAAGGATTCTAACCTCGGTGCCACCTGGCCGGACAGACTGGCACTCTTCATACGACTGTGGAATTTCCACCAGAGCCACGAACTCATGCTAGTCTTTTGAAAATTACACTTGTAGCTGACCTGGACGTGTTGTTGTTGTTGTTATATAGCACGCTTGCTGTTTGTGGGAGAGCGATATCTGCGGCACGCACACTCGAATTGTTGGTGCGAAGGTCGAACTGAAGACCTATGAACCTCTGAGTCCTGAATTTGATTCTGAGCCACAGCTGACACCAGTGGCGAGGGACACCTGAACCTCTCCCCCACACCCCTGTCACCAACTTGCGCTGACCAGCGGGAAGTCAACAACCGGTGGGGTATGGGGAAGTATGGTCAATCAAGCCCCGTGACCAACACATTGTTGGGAGTCCTTCCTAGGGGAGGACTGGGTGAAGATTACGCACCAAGGGGCGCTGGTATCATCGCAACCGCTTGAATGACACGAAGACAAAGATCCCCATATAGACTTACAAACTGTTGGGGCAAGTGCAGTTAGCGAGCACCTATGAAGACTGGCACGGCGCTTGAGGTGGTGTGCCCAGAACGACTCCAAGCTGCCTTTGTCTTCCCAGTGGTGACGTTTACACGTCGTACGAGATACTCAATGACCGCCGAGTTGACCTAGGGGAGGCCCAGAACGGGTTAATATATTATTATTACTCGCCACTGACGTTAGCCATTGGCAGGAGTCCATCTCAGGTCGCCGGTTTTGTAGTGCAGAGCGCGAACCGCTGGATGACCGCTCCCCACTCTAAACACACAGAACGCGTATGGAGGCATACATTCAACGTGCTGTGTGTTTTATCCAACATCAACAGACCCTAAAAATATCAATCCACGGACAACGTCAAACACCCGGCTTGGCACGGTGCCGCACCCATGTGTTTTGAAAGGGTTTATTTTCACGGATCCCAGCTCCCGTCTGGCTGACATCTCCTATCGCAGACCTCTCTCCTGCCGCGGACTCTCACATTCGCCAAATGCCAAACGGCACAGCGCCGTAAACACAGGGCAAAGGTTTAAACCGGTGCATTTTACTGGACAAGGAGATCATTATGACCGTTTGCCACGAAGCCCTGTGCAACTTACGGTATCTGTGTGCACTGGACAATCCCTTTTGTCGATCCACTGCTGCAGAACGAGGGCCTCAATTGTGCTGTGCAGGTGTTGGCCATTATTGACCATACTTCACCACGCTGGTCAGTGCACGTTGATGAAGGTGGGGATAGAAAAAACACACATCTTGAGGCTCGGTGTGGCTTCTTCCTTGGATGTACTGTATAAGGACATTATTATTCATCAGAAATTACTGTGGCTCATTTCAACTTTTAGATTTGGGCTGTGATACTGACACCCACCAATGCTCCTCTTGAGAATGATGTCACAGAATTTTCGATGGTCACTTTTGCAACAGAACAGACAGGAATTCTACAGAATTTACCAAGTGGCTGTATTGGTGGGAATGAAACCAATCAACTCGGACAACTGGCTCAGCCTAGGACATTGGAATCATTCGCAATCCCCATCATTAGTGAACCGTGTAATTCACCTCCCGTGCAGTGTGATTCTAAATGCCAACAGAAGGTGGACAGAGTTCCCTTTGGGTTACCGGTATATACGGCATGTGTACAGTTGATCATCATCCAATGTCACGAAAGCTGCGTTTGAAATGTGCTGAGAATTAAATTTTGGCCGTCTGCCTGCAAGTCTACCAGTCTGTGTGTCTGCTTGCCAGTCTGCCTGCTCGGCATGCATGTCTATCTCTGTCTGTCTGCCTGCCTCTCCCGAGCAATGATTTATTAAACAACAGTACCATGGTCACACAACACTAAGAATTTCAATGTGTTCGTTGCTTCTGTTTCTCTCGCGATATGTACATGACACGGTCACAGATTTGTATCGCACAACTGCATTTATTTCTGCTCGCACGATCATTATAACGAGTCGAGAGTATAAATATATCGGGTATAGTCTGAGGCTGGACCGGGGCTTGTTTACGAGACATCGGATTGGGCATCTACAAGTTTGCGTAATTGACCACGCGTCGCCGCACTCATTGACATGTTAATTGTTTCTCTAACCCCTCCCTCTCTCCGCACCCGTCCCCCTCTGTCTATTTAAGGCCTCGCCACAGAGACGATCTCCCTCTCTGTGCCTGTGTTACTCTCTCTCTATGTATCTTGGTGATATCTGTCTGCTTATATGTCTGTCTATAGTCTTCTGGTTAGATATTTGTTGCTATTTCATTTATACCTGATGATGATTGCTTGTGTTGCAATCGAAACGTCGTATGCTATTATTTAATTTATTATTTTATCTTTATACGTGACTTTACCGAAAGAACCAAAGAGCATCTATCTACATTACTCAACGGGTGGGAACAGCGCGGTAATCGCGTGCCCTCCGCAATAGAGCGATGTGTGTGTGTGTAACTACAGC